GACTCATTTCACTTAGCATGATGCTTTCCATATTGTACCACTTGTATGTAAATTTCATGACTTCATCTTTTCTAAGAGCTACATAGTACTCCATTGTGTAGATGTACCAAAGTTTCTTTAACCAGTCATCTGTTCTTGGGCACTCAGGTTTCTTCCAGTTTCTGGCTATTGTAAAGAGTGCTGCAATGAACAAACAAGTGCAGATGTCACTTCGACTACACATTTTTGGCTCTCTGGGATATATTCCCAGGAGTGGTATCGCTGGGTCAAATGGGAGCTCAATTTCTAATTTTTTGAGAAATGTCCATACTGTTTTCCAAAAGGGCTAAACTAGTCAGCATTCCCACCAACAGTGAAGGAGTGTCCCTTTCTCTCCATATCCGTGCCAGCATCGGTTGCTTTTGTTCTTTTGAATGTGGGCCAGTCTCTGAGGTGTGAGATGGTATCTCATTGTGGTTTTGATCTGCATCTCCCTGATGATTAATGATGTAGAGCATTTTCTCATGTGCTTTTTTGCCATTCGGATTTCTTCTTTGAGAAAGTTTCTTTTCATTTCATTGCCCCATTTTTGATGGGGTTGGATGTTTTCTTCTTGTGGAGTTCAACCAGTACTTTGTATATCCTTAGAACTCTGCCTAACACCATGTACAAAAGTAAGATCAAAATGGATTAAAGACCTCAACATTAGACCAGACACCATAAGGTACATTGAAGACAAAGTTGGCAAAACCCTCTATGACATTGAGGCTAATGGTATTTTCAAAGATGCCATGCCACTGGCTGAGCAAGTGAAAGCAGAGATAGATAAATGGGACTATCTTAAACTAAGAGACTTCTGCACCTCCAAAGAAACAGTGACTAAAATACAAAGACAGTCTACAGAATGGGAAAGGATATTCACCGAATACACATCTGACAAGGGGTTGATATCAAGGATATACAAAGTACTGGTTGAATGGGCAGAATTTGAATATCCTGTGTGCTAAGGGTACAGTGGAGAATACTGAATCTCATCAAGAATTAAGGTATTTTCTTTTATTCTTCTTTTTAAAAAAAATTCTCGTCATCAAGTACCTGAAATGCTGTCATACCGAACAGGGATAAACTTGTTGCTGCAACTCCAAAAGGTTAGAACTAGTTGTGGAAGAAAGGAAAGGGCAATTTTGACTCAATAAAAGGAAGCAATATAAGAAGTAGCTTCTAATAATTAAAATGGGAACTATGTGTGGTATAAGGGAGTTCATTCCTTGTCATTTGGTTGTGTCCCATCAGACTGGGAACTGCTTATTGAGCAGGCTGAAAAAGCTGATTAAAGCATTACAGAAAAAGTTGAACTAGCTCCTTCCCCTCATACCATTCTGCGCACAATTATCATTCTATAAATGTCAAAACATCTCTTGATTTCCTGCTTTTACGTCCTATAGGATTTCTCAAATGAGTCCTTCATGACCTCCTCCTTGTATTCATGCATCAGTTTCTGATAAGTTCTTGCTTCTCGTTTTGCTTGCCTTTAAATCCACCCTTTATGTGACCCCTAGATAACATATCTTAAATGAAAATATTACCATGTCATTCAGTGGTTGAATTCATCAGTATTTCAACAAGTACCTGTTTCTTCACTATGAAATAGCTGTCATTCTTTCTCCTGCCACAAAATGCTATTGAGATCCATTCATGGGGAAGGCGTTCATTCTCTCACTCCTTCCCCCCAGTGAAACTGACTAACTTGAGGTTCCTCTTACACAAAGATCCATTGTAAGCATAGCTTCGCACAGATTGTCTACTTTAGATGCCTTTGCCTTTTTACCTTCACCCAGCTACATCTTACTTATACCTCAAGTACCAACTCAAGAGTTACGTCTTAGAGAAAACACTTCCTTTACTCAGGTTTAGATCAAAACTTACAAGTACTTAACTTGCTATTCATAGATGAATGAAGTCACACTAATATTTTCCTATGAAGGCACAAGGAGAAATTGTCACCAACTTCAGCATGATGTAGTATATTCCAAAGAAGGTACAATAGAAAGTCAAGATTTGATTGTATTTTATTAAAAAAATCAAATTTAGGCTGGGCAGATATCTCAGGGGCTAGGCATTTCTGAATAGTGCTCTATATCCAGTCCTAGGACTTGCATGCTTCGCACCTTCTCAGGTACTACCAGGTGTAGGACTAGAGACCTCCCAGAATTGCTTGTTGTAGCCCTGAAGTTTCTAAGTACCACTGGGCTTGGACAGCACTATATTGCTGGACCTTAGCAATGACCATGTGGTCTGAATATCCCATGGAGTGACTCCCAGACTCATAAAGTACAACTTGATATATCTCAAAAAATAAAATGGGATCAAAAATGTAAAATACTTAAAACAATAAAAGTAGACATATTATACAAATCAGCAATGTCACTCATAGGCATTTAGCCAAAGAATATACATACATTAATTGGAAAGATATATACACCCCTGGACTGGGGGGAGAGCTCAAGTAGTAGAGCAGAGGACTGCCAAATGAAAGAATAAAGTCAATCCCCAGTTCCACACGGTGCTCAAACATGTTGTAACATTGGTTGTTCTAAAAACTGCTGGGTCTAAGTATAGCACCATATTTCAAGCCAAGGCCTGAGACTTCAGGACTATACTACCAAGCCAAACATTTTTGGGAGTAATTTTAGACTCTCTGGAGTGGTGTTGGAGTGGTTTCTTTAAGAATAAAAAAATGAGAAGGGGACTCTCCTTCACTGCTGGTGGGAATGCCGACTGGTTCAACCCATTTGGAAAACAGTATGGACGATTCTCAAAAAATTAAAAATTGAGCTCCCATTTGACCCAGCAATACCACTACTGGGAATATATCCCGGTGAGGCAAAAAGTACAGTCGAAATTACATCTGCACTTCTATGTTTATTGCTGCACTATTCGCAATAGCCATAATCTGTAAAGGTAAAGGCCCTCCCGTTGATCGTCGATTTGCTCGAGCGGGCCCAGTAACATCTCCATTGGAGACTTTGTTGTTACTGTGTCTGGCATATCGAATACTCTCGGTAGCTTGCCGGGCTCTCCGAGAGGGGCGGAGGAATCGAACTTGGGTCGGCCATGTTGGCCGCTTGTGAGGCGAACGCCCTAACCGCTGTGCTATCGCTCCAGCCCATATCGTGAAGCGTTCCATATTTTTTACTAAAATTGGAACGATACAGCCATAATCTGAAAAAAAAAAACCCAAGTACCCAAGAACAGATGACTGATTAAAGAAACTTTGGCACATCTACACAATGGAATACTATGTAGCTGTTAGAAAAGATGAAGTCATGAAATTTACATACAAGTGGTACTGCATGGAAAGTATCATGCTAAGCAAAATAAGTCAGAAAGAGAGGGACAGACATAGAAGGATTGCATTCATCTGGGGAATATAAAGTAACAAATTGGGAGACTAACACCCAAGAATAGCCAAGATAAGTACCAGGAGGTTCACTCCATGACTTGGAGGCCAGCTGTACATACTGAGGGAGAAGGCAGCTCAGATAGAGAGGGGGAGCACCAAGTAAATGGTGTTGGGAGGACCATCCCAGAATGAGAGATGCATGCTGAAAATAAACTATAGACTGAACATGATAGCCACTCAATGTCTCTTTTGCAAACCATAGCACCTCAAAGGAGAGAGAGAACAAAAGGGAATGCCCTGCCACAGGAGTGGGGTGGGATGAGGGGGTGGGGGGTGAGAGGGATGCTGGGAGCATTGGAGGTGGGGAATGGGCACTGGTGGAGGTATGGGTACTCAATCATTGTATAACTGAAACCCAAGCACAAAAATTTGTAAAGTCAACAACTCTACCACATGGAGTTTTACTAATAAAAATTTTTAAAAAATTAAAAATGCACTTTTAAAGAAAAAAATAAAGAAAGGAAATTTAAATATTAAAAAGAAGAAAATGTATATGGATATTTATATTCATCATTTATAATAGCCAAGACATGGAAACAACATAAATGGATGGCTAAAGTAGTTGTGCACTATATATTAAATGGAATATTACTTAGCTGTCAAGAAAGACAAAATAATTTTTTACATAATGACTTGGATGGACCATGAAGTGATTATTCTCAGTTATGATTACCAAATGGTTTGTCTAAAGTGTGAAATACTAATAACCATAGCAAATAAACAGAAAAATCACAACAAAAGTGACCCAGGCTCTAGGAAAAACACAATGACTGCCAGAGGTTGTAGGGAAAGAGGTGAAAGAAAAGAGTAAATGGTGTCAGTATGATCATGAAAACAGAATTAGAAATTTGGTGGTGAGTGTGATAGTGCTTCTTGACATATTCAGATATAAGCTATATTTTCATATTTTACTTAGTATTGGAAAGCAATAATAAATAAAAATATATTAAATCACATTAGTAAAAATAAATAAAGTATCCCTAAAATGGCTATAAATGTAAATACCTATGGGAGATTCTATGTGTATGAAGGTGTGTGAAAAGGAAGGTTTAGGAAACAAGAGAAGGGATGGTTAAATCAAGGGGCTTCCTCCTCTCCCTATTGTTGTCCTCTGTATAAGGTATAAGTCTGTTTCCAGATCTTAGTCTTTAAAGAGAATATAAAATCTAGATTTTATAAAAGAACTCATGGCTTTAACTAATTAAATTTTTCTGGTTTGGGGGCCATAACTAGCAATGCTCAGGGATCACTCCTGGCATGCTCAGAAGACCATATTCAGTCTTGGGGACTGAGCCTAGGACAGTAGCAAGCAAGGCAAGCACTCTATTCACCGTACAATTAGTCCAGCACTTGGAAACATTTTAAATGTTTAATTTTGTTTATTTATAATTAATTTTTCGCTGTGTAGTTAAGGTAGCATTTTAAGATAGAGTTTGTGTTTCTGCCTTGATATACAATCACTATATACCTCACTATCACCAACGTGCCCAACACTCTGCACTAGCACTCATATTAATTTTAGTCCACCTTTGCATTTGTCCTACTTAAAAACCTCATTTAAAATATGGAAAGTTCTAGGAATTCGGGCATTGTCCTTATGCAGTGGCCATGCAAATCTTCTATGTATCATTTCAATTTTAGTGTCTTTGCTACCAATATGAGCACCAAAGTGTGTACTTTTAAATACTGCACTGGTCAACTATCATATCTACAGGGAAGAACGACCCCAAGATTTCTATTTTACAGACTCTGTTCAAAAATTTTTTTACATTGCTATATTAGTCTGCCTGTTCACCACTTGTCTGCTACATCAGCACAAGAACAAGAAAATACCCCAATAGTGGGAGGGGAGAAAAGAAATGCACCAATGGAGGTTTATGATACAAAGATTTTTGCTTTAGTTCATTTCTAGGAGATGAATAGAAGACAAATTATATGCCTATGGCTCTCAACATCTCAGTTTCTAAGACTGTTCATGGAAATAGTTATCTCTATTCTGCATATCTCAAAGAGTGTTAGTGAAAATTAAATAATGTAAACAGAACATAAGATTGCCTAGAAAAGAACATGTGCTTGCAATTGAAGTCACGGGAACAGGTATATGTTGCAGATGTGTCTGTGTCACCAGAAGGACCTCTCTACTGGGCTATTTCCAATGTAATGGTAAAAAAAAGTTTTTTTTCTGGCATTACAATATTCTGTTTCCTGTGAATATTTTGGTTCAAGACAAGCTGGTTTACTGGGTGAAGTGAGGGATTGATTGATAATTGGTTTCTCAATTCAGAGAACAACTGAATGTACCTGACTCTCTTTTTCCCACACTGATAGCTAAACCCTAGTTTAATATGTCATATAACCTCTTCCACAGAGCTCTGAAAAGCAGCAGGGATTCTTGTCAATTATCTTTGTTTGTTTTTTGCTTATTTTGGAAAAATAGCATAGACAAGAATTCGTTAATGCAAGCAGGTTACTTACTCTGAAGCTAGCTGGAGTTGACATAAACTCTCTGCCATGATTTAAATAAAAGACTGAGTAAAGCTTCCCAGAAAGAAAAGGTTTGCCAGAAATTTAAGTACTAATTACAAACATGCAAGGACTAGAGACAGCATAGGAACTAAGGCAATTGACGTACATGTGCCCAGTTTATTACATCACCTTTTTGCCTGAGCCACACAGAGAACAATGCCAAGCACTGCTGAGTGTGGCCCAAATATCATCATATACATTTATTTACTGATAAATAGCACTGTAGCACTGTCCTCCTGTTGTTCATTGATTTGCTCAAGCGGGAACCAGTAACATCTCCATTGTGAGACTTGTTACTGTTTCTGGCATATCGAATATGCCACGAGGAGCTTTCCAGACTCTGCTGTGTGGGCAGGATACTCTTGATAGCTTGCCGGGTTCTCTGAGAGGGATGGAGAAGTCGAAACTGGGTCAGCCACGTGCAAGGCAAACGTCCTACCTGCTATGCTATTATCATAATATACCAATGTGAAAAAATCCTTCGGTCATTTCCACATAACACTGCAGAGCCACAGAATTTTTGCATTTCAGGGTTCCCGTTATTAAGACCACAAGTGCCTTTGATTTTAATATACGGAGTCTTACATGCTCAAAATCAATAGGACTTCAGGGGCCAAAACATAGTACAGCAGTTAGGGCACATGCCACATGCCTAGCACATACCTGATCTGGGTTCAACACCAGGGACCACACAGTTCCTGGATCTTCACTTAAGTATAGCCATGGAGTCCCCCTGTTAAACCCCATTCGTGATGGGGATCAGGGATTGCAATTATTCCCCATGAATGAGAATGTCTGGGGCTGCACGCACACTAGACTGATAAATAAATTAATATAATTAATACAACTATGATCTATGAAGTGACTTCAGCTAGGCTTGTTTCTTGTCTTTATGGGACCTAATGACTTCCTGTTTGCCAAAAATCACTGTAATTCATTTGCCTCCATATCCATTCCCTCTGCAGTATGACTTTACACCTTTCTCCCAAATCAGAGACTCAGTTTCCCCTTCCTTGATTTTGAGCTGTTCATTTGACTATGAACTTGTTGGGAGAATCTTGAGAGAATTATACAGCTATTAACAAACGTAAAAGACCTTAAAACAAATTCTTTTTCTTCTCCTTCCTCCTCATCTTCTTCCTCCTTGTTTTCTTCCTCATTCATTGTCCATCTCTCTCCTCTTCCTTCCCTTTTCCTCCTCTGCCTTCCCATTTCCTTATCCTTTTATCTCAGTCTGGTGCCCAATCCTGATGCTGCCAGAGAAAGAAATCTTGGAAGTTTGCTTAGAGATAAGACATACATGGTCCAGTCACCCTCCTCACCCCAGACCTGCAGTATTAGACATGTAAGAGCCACCTTTCTTGGTCATTCAACCCAGAACTGACCACTAAATGCATGAATGAATGCACCCAAGATGTGCTGAGCCTTTTTTTTAGATTGGATAGAATCACCCAATAGATTCAAGGACTTATAAATGACTTATAAATAAAGAATAAATGCTTATTAAGATATTTTGAGATCCAGAAGTGTTCTCCTTGCCTCATCAATGGTATTTAATTAACATGAGCCTTGAGAAAATTAGATCTTTCTGAGCTTTTTTACTGAATCCATGTAAAAATGAGAATAAAAATATTAGCACTAGATAGAAATGTAGTGAATATTCCATTAATAGAATAATTCAACCTAGAATTATTTTATTTATACTATCTTATTTCAAAGCTGCTCTTGATTTTAATAAGTCACACCATTGAATGTCCTCTTCTACTTCCTCTAAGTTGCCCTCATTGACACGCAACACCAAACTCACTTCACTATAAATTGGACTTCACTGTAAATTCAAATTTTTGCCAAGTTCTTGGAAATAATTGTATTTATGTTTGCTCTATCAGAATTGGCAAGTGGTTCATGCAAGTTAAAACCACATGTCCCTGAACGTAAATGGAACAAAATGAAACACACTATCATTCTCTCTAAAACACTAAGTCAGAGAGATAGTACAGCAGCTAGGGCATTTTGCTTTGCTTTAGGCTGACCTGGTTTCAATTCCTGGGTACCCATGTAGCCCACCAGGAGTAATCCCTGAGATCAGAGTCAGAAGTAAGCCATGAGCACTGCCAGATAAAGCCCCACTCCCACTTCCCCACAAAATAGTACCAGGATTTGGAATGGTATCTCAAAGGTCTGGAGCATATGCTTTACATGTGCAGTGTTCAGGGTGGCCCTAATGACCACAAAGCATTTCTAGAACTGAACAATAAAAACTTCTGTCTCATATAGCTAGTCAGGACTAGCCGTTGGGACTCCTAAGCAATTCTTAAGAGGCTTTCCCAATCCAAATTAATTGTATTTATTAATTAAATTCAATTTGTGTATTAACAAATCAGAGTAAGAACTTAAATTGTATACTATCCCCCAATTTAATAATTTGGTACCAAAGAGGTTGAATTCTTTCAACCCTCTGGAGAGGCAAAGCCTTTTCAGACGCAAGATTTTATAATTCTTCTTTTCTCCTCTACCAGGACTCCAATGCTTATTTATCTGGAAGTTTCTGGAAAGAACTGAGGATGCAATCACTTCTGCCACTTTCTCTGCCATTACATGACTCAGTGCATTTTTGCCTTCTTAATCATGTCTTGTCACATGCAATTCCAGTCTACAGACCCAAAAAAGAAAGTTTTTCATTCCCACAATGCATCTCCCTCCATTTTTTACCTCATTTTCAGAGACCAAGTCCTGTTTCCTCTCCTAAAATGAAGTAAAATTGGCACAGTGCATGTTGTGTTGTCTCTCGTTCTCTTCTTTCTAGGCAATAGCCTACTTCCTGATATGCTGGTGAAACTTTCCTGTTTGAATCACCTGGAAAAGAAAGGTTGCCATCCTCCTTCCACAGTTTTATCCATTCATAGTGACCCTGTCTCTGAAATCCAGCAATGGCTTCAGGGAACCAGGGATTGTGGTTTGCTCAGGGTAGAGCATTTCAGTTGTATCTATATTCTGTTTTCAATCCTGGTCCTGCAAAATAAGAAAGAAATAACATGGTGGTCAAGTCTATAATAGCAGTAGCAAAATCACAAATATTGACACGGACATTAAACACTCATTTTATATGAAACATTCAAGACTATTTGTAGATTTGTTTGGTTAGTCTTCACAAGCAATCTTCTGAGATGAAGCTACTATAATCCTTAATTTGCAAATGAGAAAACGAAAACATATTAAGATTAAGTAAGTTGCTTCAGGCCACATTTGGGAAATAAACTGATAAATATGGACAAAGACTTAGGTGATTAGCTAGAGAAACTGAGCAATTAACTGCTATGCAATACTAAGAGAACATTCTGGAAACTCACTTGGACTTGCAGAAGAGATATATGTGCTGCAACTTACTTTGATGAGGTACTTTTTTATCTCATTTTTTACAGATGAAGAGAGGTGGAGAGCAATGAGTGGTGTGTCTAAAACTAACAGTGTTTGCATTTTATGATTGGTGGGAATAAGAGTAAATTTATTGATCCTGAATCATGATGCTATTGATTATCAACCTCAAAACAGTTGCCACTTATAATTACTGTGTGAAGTGTTTTACAGGTATTTTCTCTTTTAGGTCACAGAAAATTTTAGGATAAAAAACTGAGACTCAGATAAGTCACATAGTTAGAAAAGAGAAGAATAGAGATATGCACCAGTTCTGAATGACTTCAAGTCTCACAGATTTAACTACCAGGCAACTCTAAGTGATAAGGTCACACTCTCACGGATATCATGCTTCTTCTTCTGATTGAGAGGAAACCTGGAATTTGTTATTACTTTATAGATTCTTCCATCACTGACTATACCCGAGAAGTCTGGGGTTTCACTCCACTGAATTTCTCAGAAAGGAATAGAATGAAATTCTGAACCTCAAAGAAGCAAATGTCATGTGGAAGAAACATTTGGAGCTATGTATCAATTGCTATCTTTAGACTATCTTATTGGGATCAGGCAAGAAGGAACTTCAGACTATCTCAGCATTTGTAAAGCAGACAGTGAGCAGAATCAATATTCCTAGAAAATTCAATGCAAACTCTAGAAGTGTTTCAAGGAGTTGGTTACTAAGAATATTTGGTTATGGCAGAGCATACTGAAAGTGGACAAAGAAT